CCACCAGGCAGTGAGCGTGAGCAGGGCACGAAAAACGAATAAGGAACAAATTTCTTTGCGCTACCATAGAAAAGAAATTGCGCGTTAGGCTGTTTTTGTACTTTTCGGAATTCGTGACACCCTGATCTAGCCCCTCATGGGAGGGCTTTTAATTAAAGCAACTTTTTAGAATTTAAATGGATTTCAGTTGTTTCCAACTTGCCAGCAACAACAAAAACGCAGTGCATTTGCACAGCAAAAAAAAACTAAGACCTAAAAGCGACAGTTTCGGTATCCAGTATCCACCTCTATTGCCGGGGAGGGGGTGAATGCGCTTGCAGGTACAGGGAACATGACTGGATAGCAACTCTCCGTTTAGGTGCTAATGAAATAGTCGTGGAAGTCGTAAAACCACATACATGTGGTAGTACAAGACACGCGATGATCTGTTTGGGATTCTAACAAGGCATCGTACGTGTTATTGTAGTTGTCGTCCTTCGGTTATTCCACTTTCTCGTGTCTTGCTCTCCTCAGGGTGGGTCTTAATGCTGAAAATATAACCGAGATGTTTGGTAGTATAAACTCTCATTGACATTTACATTTTATGCTGTTGTACTGTTGCTGTTGTAGTCCTGGGAGCTTCTCCAGTGTTTAGTACTCGAAGAGTAGGCATATCGGTTACCCCCATACCCTCGTAGTTGCCTTCGTCGACCTTAGCTAGATCCAGGGGGCAGGGACAGATTGGGGAACGAAAAGTCCGCTGGCGCGGTCTCGCAGCCAGCTCCCTGAGCCGAGCACACCTGACAGACCTGAGAGTACAGCGAGCGGCTGCAGCCAAACTGGGCGTGGGCACAAGTCGCACTGTTCTGGTAGCACTTGGGATTCGCGGCGGTCAGACTCTCCACCGACGGCAACGGCGTCATGTTGGTACTCGTGCCATTGCCGGCCAGCTGGTTGTACACGGCTACCATTTGCGCGGCACGGTTGGCATTGGCGGCCTGGTCGCCAGGATTCTTCCAGAAGTCGATGCATTGCTCTACCTCAAAGCCATTACCAGTGTTCTTCGCCTTAAACTCAATGCCACCGCTCTCACAGAACTGCTGGTAGTTACTGTGGCCCATCTTAGTGATGCCAACCAGGTCGTCGATGTTCAGGTAGCCCAGAATCTTGTAGCTGTACGTGCACGTCTCGCCATCGGGCTGGACTCCCATGGGGCACAGGCCACCGTTGTATTGCGCCCTGCACTCGGCCGTCTTCTCCGCACGGTATTTCTGAGCGCACGAGTTCGGGAACGAGCACCAGTAGTTGTCCGGGTACGGAGCACGCGGATCCGAGCCCTGCGGGTTGCAACCAACGTTCGGGCCAATATCCATGGTACCGTCCAGCCCGTAGTAAACTTTGCAGCTCTTCGGCAGGTCAGCGCCTGCATTCGTGCATTTGGCGCCGTCCATGGCCACGAAGTCACCGTACTCCGGGGGCGTGTGGTTTTCGTAATACTTGATGCTATAGGTCGGTTGGACGATGGTCATTTCGTAGAACACGACGTACTGCATGTTATTTTTGCGTTGGCACTTGACCGACTGCTCGTTCACGTTAATGCCTTCAGCCTGCACATACATCAGAGCTCCTTCCACAGACGCCATATTGACTGTGTCGAGGTTGTTAACGTAGGCAGCTTCCGTGGTGTCACCGTACTTGGACAGCCACAGGTTGACCTCCGGGTGCCACACAGGCGGGTCTCCTTGAACACGGGCCTGGATGATCTTGACGGGGGTCATGTGCCAGTCGTTATTGCTGTCGGCAGAAGCGGTAGCACCGAGAAGAGCGCAAAGCAGACCGAATTGACGCCACATTATGGAGCTGGGAAGTCTTCCTGGGCGAGAAGTGTCCGTGACCAAGTAAAAACTGGAATGGGAGGTATGTAAGCTCATGCCTCGGTCCAAGACGGGTTTGTCTGTTCGTGTTGGCTTCAAAACATACCGGACGTTCGCTGCCAAATGGCAATGCCTGGACGAGCGTCGACTGGTCTTGACGGTCCTATCCACAAAAATGCGGTTGGATAGCAAAAATGCGGTTGGATAGGTCTGGTCGAGATTTCAGCGTGGCAATGTCTGATCCAGAGCTGAATAAGATTGTGCTCGAAGTATCTCGTAAGTATTAATTAATAAATAATACTTGACACACAGCATGGGGTTGCTGTTATACTAGAATTAATTAATTTTACACGCATGGGGTGCAGTCGCCGACACCGAGTCCAGGGCGATTTACCGCTAGTAAGTTAAGAATTGAGCACTCCATTATTCTCTGTTTATTTTGCGGCGCAAACGGCGTCTTCAACCAACGAAGCGGATAGTGCAGGGTTTCCGTGTCGTCGCATGCAGGATGGTGCCCCTTTGTCACAGACAGCAACGTGCCTTCGCACAAAAGTGAGCTTGACACCATGCAACCTTGCGAACCAGCGTGCGAACTGCAGTTTGGAGCTCTGAAGGTGAGGAGACTGATCCCAAATGTCGTATTCCGGATATCCATGGATACCCAGTACGTTCACGAACGGCGAATCGGATTGACATTCCTCAAAGCGAAAAACAAACGAGGCGAGACTTGGCCAGCTTCGGAGCCGTATTGCCAGCCTTCGATCATGGATGGCACAGATGTGTGGGACATCTTGCTGGCAAAAAAACTTACTTTTTCCTTAAAAAAAAAAAATTGGACAAGCATAAAAGCTTAAATGAATTATGAATATCTAAAAATGTTACAGATTCTGTCAAGATTGCTAACAAAATGTAAGGCATAACAACTCGGACCGAGTGGTGCACCTCCATGGAAATCGCGTGTGCTCCGTGTCAACCTCGTATTGGTTTCAAGACGGAAAACGAACGATGACTCACGGATACTGCTTCGTTCTGCGTGGTACGGTTGGTGGCATAGTGGTAGTCACTGGCACTGGACGGCCTCCCGAGGTCCTCTGGAGGCCAGTGTAGATCCTCTGGCAGAGAGGATCCTGAGTCCAAAATCTGGGCTCAAGATCGAGCTCACTTC